TTTATCATTTTCTCCAACTTGAACATCTGGACATAACAGATGCAGGACTAACACCCAGATGCTAGAAGCCCTAGCCTGGTGCATTCTTTTCTAATTTATAGCATGTCCCAAAGGTTTCAGATCAAGGTGGATGAATAGTGTGAATATTTTAAGAATTTTACAGCACCTAATTCAATGTGTGAATTAGAAGGGAAATGGAAATAAGCTAGAATAAAAGGTATCTGATTTATTGAAGTCAAATATAACAACCTTTATTTAACAAAAAAAGTAAAAATTCAAATTAAAAACTAATAAATTAAGTGCAGATTATAATTCATCCTGTTTCTATGGTTATGGAAAAATAACAACTGAGTACTTGTTATGCAAAACAAATTGTCCCTTTGAATTGGCAGCTCAAAAGATCTCAGACAAATGTACCACTCACGTTTTGTGAAAGTATGGTTCACTTTGTATTTTTCAACTCCTATTTTCCTTATATCTGGTTTTCCTTCCTTTTTTATTCCTGTTGTATATTATTTGTATCTTTATCTTTAACCTACCTCAAATTCTTTTGGAACAAGTTGAAAACAAATAAGTCATCACTCTGGAAACACAGGTTATCTGTTGGGTGAGTGGGGACTATTGTCCAAGGTGTCGATGGCCAGCCTGAACTCTTCAAAAAGAACTTAGAAGCACACTGAGTACCAATCTCAACATTCACTGAAAGGGGATTATCAGCATACAGACCAGGGCTATGGACCAAAGAAGAAAGCATCCCCAGTCAGGACTAGCTGGTTAATCAGTACCTGAGTTTTGGCGAGAAATTAGCAGATAATGGCACTCCCTCTCACCACTGGACAAAAACTGACGAAAAAGCTTCCTAAGGCCTGGGGAATGTTAGAGCTAGGACCCACATTCACTCTGTTTCAACATTTTAACAAATCGTAATACTGAGGAAAATATCTGTTTGCATTGGCATAATGTTAATGATTCAAGGTTCATACCTAAGAGAACTAGCTCGATTATGGAATTAAATCTGTTTATACTAACTAGCAAACAAAAATTTGAAATTATTAATACATTAACATTTTAGTCAGAGTAGGCACAATATTATTTTTGCCTTCAATCCAACATTGGCTATTTAGTATCATAAAAAACATCTTGATATATTAAATGAATATTAATTTCATTTTTATTGTTTTATAGATTTTCAAAATTTAATTTATAAATGCATTTTAGTTAGAAATTATATAAAAAGACAAAATAAAGAATTAATATTTAGTTTTACATTTGTAAATACATAAAATAATCAAGTTCATAGTTTAGTACTAGGAATCTGCATATTTAGTTTTACATTTGTAAATACATAAAATAATAGTTTAGTACTAGGAATCTGTGGGAATTTTTTTCTGTAAAGGAAAAAGGAGAAGTCATTTTTAGAAGTTACTTGCATATTAATTATGGGTTTTTAGAGGCCAAAAGTCTTCAAATATTGAAAAAATAATTTTCTAAGTTTGGAAATGCAGCTACTGTTATAGATAGTGAAGAAGATATCTATAATGTGGGGCTCAACCTACCTGGTATCACAGCACACATGTCCCAATAGTGGGGGTGGGGAGGGGAGGGATGTGTGTGTGTTTGTGTGTGTGTCTGTGTTTGTAAAACTGGTGGAAGTAATACAACATAGAATGCACAAATACTTTTAATCAGCTACTTAATGTGAGCAAGCAAAGAAGTACATTTTTGAGATAGTCATTGAAAAAATCCATCAAGAGAAAAATAAAAAATAAACTGAGAGCACCACTATCACCATTTCAGATCATGCACTGTCTCTCCTCCCATTGTGGTTATGAAATGCCTCTGAGGCACATCCACTGTGGACACAAATGATCTTTCCTAAGGATGAATCAGCTGAAACTCCCCAAAAGAATTTAGAAATTCAAGAATTAATAATTACAAACATCACCCATACAACCCATAACAAACAAGGTGATTTAGGCATCAAGGTAGATTAACAAATATCGTATTTCTTATTTCAGTCTCTGCTATCCGGTGATGCTGTCATCAATGATATACTACATTAACTTTCCACCTCACATTGGGATACACATTCCAAAAAATCTAATTATCTTCCTATTTCTTTTTCCACATTACTGTGATTTTTGTTTCTAAACTCTCTACCTTTATTTTCTTAAGCAAAGACATTTAAGCCATCTCATGAAGATAGATGATTTAACAAATTTGTTCTTTTAAAGTTCTTTACCTTTAAAAGATGATTTAACAAATTTGTTCTTTTAAAGTTCTAATAACTTTTTTTAGTTTTCCTATTGCTACAACTACTACTTAATTTTAAATTCAAGGTTTTTTTTTTAACTTTGAAGTTATATTTATGACATTCTTTCATTCTGTTGAACCTAATGAATCAGCTTTATCAATCTTTTTTTTTTTTACTCGTAGGTGCTTTGTTTAAACTTAATTTTTTAGTTTGCCATTAAATAGGGAAAAAATAGTAATTTCTTATTACTCAATAATAATGAGTAAGATATCTATAATGTGAGCACCACTATCACCATTTCAGATCATGCACTGTCTCTCCTCCCATTGTGGTTATGAAATGCCTCTGAGGCACATCCACTGTGGACACAAATGATCTTTCCTAAGGATGAATCAGCTGAAACTCCCCAAAAGAATTTAGAAATTCAAGAATTAATAATTACAAACATCACCCATACAACCCATAACAAACAAGGTGATTTCAGATATCTATAATCTGAAATGGTGATAGTGGTGCTCTCAACATTTGAAACCCATTCAAAGCTTGGAAAAAATAGTAATTTCTTATTACTCAATAATAATGTGGCTTAATGGTGAAGATTACAAGCTTTGAATGGGTTTCAAATGTTGTCTCCTTCACTGTGAGATCATGAAAATGTTGCTTAATTTCAAGCCTTAGTTTTCTTCACTTTAAAATGGTAATAATTATAGTGCCTATTCATAGTGTTGTGAGGATAATAAACTCACACAAAAAAACCTAGCACGGTGCTAAGTGAAATTAGTGTCTTATGCTTATTTCCAAATCCACAAGAAATCAAAACATTGGTGAGATAAAATATGAGGACATCAGATACAAATCAACGCTCAGATTACCATGTTCTGGAAGAACAACAGAAGTGTAGACAATATATAATAAAACATTTCCAAACCATTTAAGTTAGAGAATGTATTGCATAATTTCATCACTAGTTATTCCAGTTCCTTAATTTATATTTTCAAAACAAATGATGATAGGAAGAGTAGCCTCCTGGCCAAGTAGAAGAGGCAATCTACCTTTCTTTATCATTATAATTAAAGTATCCATGCTTTATTTATAAAGTACATGACACACATAACAAACTGGAAAAGTCAGTTAATATGTAAGGAATAGCATTTTCTCTGATCTCTGTCAGAACCAGTTTACCTGTGTCTCCATCATAATAGAGAAAAGTATTGTAAGTTAAGTCAAATTCTGGGTCTTGCTATTAATATTACTTTTAAAAATGAAAGCATAATGATAGTAACTTTAACTACTATAGTGAACTATTCATTAAGTTTTATTCTAATCATTAAATAGATTTTTTTTTAACTTTTTACTTAAAATTGGTCCCCTAAAGAAGGGCAGTTAAAGTACAAAGTCAAATTTTAGTTATGGAATTTGAAGAAAACTTTTTAAAAAGATAATAGAAAGCATATCATAAACAAAATGAGATGCATAATTTATCCAAAGGCACATGTTTTTATGGGAATGTAGTCTTAGAGAAAATGTTACACAAACTAATCAATAGCATTTGGTTTAAAAAGAGAATGGCTCTCCACTGGATATTGTATTCTTTCAACAAAGATTAATTCTTCAATGTTAAAGTGATATAAAGGTATTATTGCATATATCAGGAAATCTAGATGGACTCATTTTTCATTAATAACAATATGTAAATTAGAGAGTGAATACCACCTCAATCATCTAATTTTAATTGTCTATCTAAGTAGCTTAATTCAACACTGCACTCCCAAAGGCATAAGACTACAGCTCCATGAAATGATGCCCAATTGAACATTTTGCTCCCACCCCCAACCAGACATCCTTCCTGACTGAAAGCATGATTATGGAGAGCCTGCAGTAATGACATTGGACCAAGAGTCAGTAAGCCTGGATTCTCTGCCCAGCTCTGCCAGGGGAATTTATATTCCCTGGGCCTCAATATCTTCACCTGGAAAATGACACAGTTGAACTAGTTGATCTGCAAAGTAGAATAATAGACACTTCCCAACCTTAAAATATGTGAAAAGCAGATTTGATATCAAAGATGTATTTTTACAGCACTATTTTAATATATAAAACTTTGATACCTACCTGTTTGTGGAAAGAAAAAAACATATCACTTGACTTGAGAAATTAAAACAAAAGAATGTATAAAGTAATCTGTTGGAAGAATATTTACTGTTCTAGTTGTTATTCCTTCAAATAAATAGCAGAATTTAGTTAATAAGTGTAATGATGTTTCCTCCTATTTGGAAAAAAAAAACAAAATCAAGCTTTTCTCTAATATTAAGGCAGATATTCTTATCTATTAGGTTGTTAAACTACCTGATAAGGAAGTATACTCGAAGGTTTTAGGCACACACAGAAAGCTTATACAAGAAAGCTGCTCTATTACACATTTATTCTATAGCTTTCTTATGAAATAGGTAATAAAAATTTCCAAAGTGTGTGGAGGGAAGGAGGAAGACTAGTACATGCAATTTAAAAATTTCTTTCAAACTAATGCAATTTTAATTATTTCTAAATTAATAATTTTTGCATATTTTCTTCAAGCTTCACATCTTGAAATAAGCCCGTTTAGACTTCTTTTACTCTAATTCCCAGATACCCCTTCTCTCTCTGTCCTCCACCAGCTGTTTGTTCCTTTCTCCCTCCTCTCCCAGGTGCACTTCCCGCCGCCCCTCACTTTTCTACCCCCACCCCATCCCTCTACCTGAGCCCTTACCTGTCGGCGCTGAGGGCAGTGAGAGTGAACACGGATACTCCCACGGAGGTGAGCTGGATGACAGGGATCAGTTTGCAGCCCACCTTCCCGAACATCCACTCGTCAAAGAAGTAGCGCGAAGCATCCACCGGGACACAGGTGAGCAGCAGCAGCACGTCCCCGGCGGCCAGGCTGGAGATGAAGATGTTGGGGACACTCCTCATGGCGCTGTTGGTGATGAAGATCTTCACCAGCATGATATTGCCCAGCAAGCCCACCGTGATGATGAACAGATAGAGGGACGGGATCACACAGCGGATCACTAACTCGGCGGTGGTCCCGTCGGGGGCGGGCAGGAAATCGCTGTCCCACACCCCGGGAACTGCACCGCTGTAATTCGTGCCGGAGGTCTGGGAGAGATTGCAAAGAGACTTGGGGGGCATGGTGTCCTTTCTAGGAGAGTCGCTGGAGTTATCGTGCGCCCAGTTGCCCTAAAACGTGGAACGCACACGATTCGGGTACACTGGATTTCCCTCTGGCTGGGACAAGTTTACTGCCCACGGAGGACGAGTCAGGGCGCGCGTCCTGAAGACTACAGGGCCAGTTAGAAGTCTGTCCACGCGCTCGGGTGTTTCACCTCTAGAAGAGGCACATGGTCTCCTGCTGGCTCCTAATTAAAAAAACGAAAAAGAAAAAAGAAAAGCAAAGCAGTTGCGTCTTTGTTCCAGTCTTGACTGGTTTGTTCTCTTTTATAGCTAATGGAGAATAAACCTTTTGTCAACAAAGATTTGTCCCTCTGGGATTAATAATAGTACCTGCCCGACTGTTCCTTGGGAGGCGAGGAAGTCATCCTGTTGCTTTGCAGCGAATCGCAGCAGAATCACTGGGAACTAGCGTGCAGTGGCTGACACTTGGCTAGTCCTACAGCTTTGCTCGTTTCTGCAGCTCCTATTTTATTGAAGGGGATCTGAGACCGCTCTCTCACACTACATCCCTATATACATTTATCAGCACCCGCCTCTGAGCAGGGGGAGCCCCAGACAAGAAGTTTATGGACCTCTGAGGATTTGGAGACTGAGCTGGCAAGTCTCTGAGGCTCTAACATGGAATTAAGGAAAGAGAATGAGTGACAAAGAATGAAGTAAATTAATGGAATTCACTTTCTTCCTTGATCTACTTTTCTCCCCCCAATATAAAGACTCTTTCTTACAGCTGGCATATTATTTTTAAATTTATTTTATTGAAATGTAACATACATAAAGTACACAATTCTTGAATGTACAACTCAATCTAACCACCATTCAGAACCTACAATCTGGTCACTATCTCCTAAGGTAACCACATTCATTCTGTTTTTTTTTATCATCTAAGATTAATTTGCCTGCTCTTGAGCATAGTAGAAATGGGATTATAAAGTAAGTAATCTTGTGCCCAGCTTCTTCCACTCAACATTACATTTTGTGTGTAGAATGTTCCATTGCTCTGTAGTTTTCCAGTATAAATACACCACTGTTTATGTATTTCTTTTATGGTTGGTTGACATTTGGATTCTATAGTTTTAGCTAATTTCAATAATGTTTCTAGCTAGTCTTCTGGTACATATTTGAATCTCAGATATGGATTTGCTAGGTCACAATGATTAAGTATGTTCGACTTTAGCAGAAATTGACAATTGTCCAAAGCGAATTCCAACTTTGTATTTTCTTTTGGAGACTGGTTTGACAATATCTTTTAAGGCCAAACATATGTATGCCTTTGACTGAGCAATGTTAGCCTTAAATATATGCTTAATATATATCTGAGACATTATTTTAAATATGATGTCCCTAAGAACAAAATAACTTCCCAAATTAACAACACTATCTGAATCTAATATAAACTACTCAGAAATGGCACAGTTTTGAAGTTAACCAGATAACTTTCTTTTCATTTGTGGGGCCGGGGGGCGGGAACAGTTGCTTAGCTCTTGGTTATTAAAGAATAAAATTGTGTGACAACAAGGAAATTAGTCAAGGACTACCTACAATGATCTAGCCATAAGCTAATGAAGTGTGCCAAACTATTTGTAAAATTTAAGAAAAATTTTCATATTTTGATGACCAAAAACAGCATTTAATTATCAGAGTTGAATTAGATAATGTAAATATTTGCATAATAATCAATTTTATGTTTTCTGACTCAGTTTACTTTTCTTGAATGCTATACTCAATGTACTCCTCTTGGATTTCATTACTTAAAATAATCTGTTATTAAGTTAAAGTTGAGTAAATAGAATGTTCATATACAAACATTTTAATATACATGAATATTCAATTCATATTTATATATCATGTATAGGTCAAATTGAAAATGTCTCTAGATATTTTATCTTCGAAGTTATTTAAGTTTTTCCTTTTGACATTTTCTAAATTATGAAATCCCTCAAACTTTCAAACTGCAACTATCTAATTTTAATTCATTTTATATGAAAACATATTGCAGTCTAAATTGCGGTATAGATATCTATATTTTCTTCTGATGTTGTCTGTATGATGCTAATTGCTTACTTTAGATGAGAAAAAAAATGTTTGGTATAAAAACTAAATTAAAAAATATCTAATTGCCTGGCACTGTAGAAATAAGGCATCTGGATTATTGAATTTTTTCCATATCAAGTGAATCCACGTGTATTTAGTCAAAGGCTTGGTTAATGGGAGTGAAAGGTATAATGAATGTTTTAATAATGATGGCTTTATTAATACTGTATTAAAATATGTTAAAAGTCATTATAATTATGTTTATATTATTTAGATGCATCATCAAATTATATATAAGTATGTGGGTATAGTCTCAATTGTATAGAATTAATACACATCAGAAATTAGCATCCCCTGAAGAGATAAACTTTGTTTTGTAATCAATGTACCATACACTACATTATGTTCATATAAATGTACAACATATACAAAGCATAGTATTTGATAAAAATAACAAATGACTATATCACTCACTGGTTTATGTATTTACTGTACTATACTTTTAATCATTATTGTAGAGTGTACTTTTCCTATTTACAAAAAAAAAAAAGTTTGCTGTAAAACACTATGCCATGTAATGCTGGACTGGCAGCAGCCTCATACATCTTACGTTTACCATGTCTCTTCATTACATCATTCTCTAGTGCTTGATGTACTTGATTTAATCTCGTTGCTTTGCTCATTTCAGGCCCTAAGCATACAATATCCATTGTTAATGTTGCCAGTAAAAGGCCACACTGAGTGATTGACCTGGAAACAAAATTAAAAGTGACTAAAGACTACAAAAGTAGAAAACCAGTAGTGGTTATTGTTATTGCTCACTTCAGACATTTCCATTCAACCATAGCTACAATCTTGAAGAGCAAGAAAAGACAGAAGCTGTCAAAGGATGTGCTTCATTGAAGGAAATGAGACTAACAAAAATTTGAGAAAGGCCATATCAGACTTGGAAAAACTTTTAATGTCCTGGATTGAAGACCAGACACAGAAGCATATCCCTCAAAGCACCACGATAATCATCGTTGAGTGACGCAAAAAGTGTGTTTGCAATATTGAAAAAAAAAACCTGGACCTGACTACAATGTTGATTTTACTGCTAGTTCTGGATGATTTGAATGATTCAAGAATCATCATTCATTACATAATGTGAAAGTGAGTGGAGAGTCTGTGAGTGCTGACATAAAGGCAATTGAAGAATTTTTGGAAACTCCAGATAAGCTGATTGTGGAGAAATATTACTTACCATAACAAATATTCAGTATGGATGAAACCTAAATGAAAATAGATACCTAAATGGACTTTAACTAATAAGGAGACAAAATCAAAGCCAGGTTTCAAGGCTTCTAAGGACAAGATAATGGTCTTGCCTGGGGGCAAGTTTGCAGGTTACAAATTGACACCTTTTGTGATCTGACACAGTGAGAACTCCAAGATTTTCAAGTATGTTAGTAAGCACACATTGCCAGTGTACTACAGGCGAAATAAAAAGTCATGGATGATCCAACTCCTCTTCCGAGATGCCCTCCTGAATTGCTATGCCAGAGAAATGGAGAATAACATACTTTCGAGATTTTGCTTATTGTTGATAATGCTCTCAGACATCGTCCTTTCATTCATGATCTTCATCCCCATATAAAAGTGCTGTTTCTCCGTTCAAACACCACCTCTTTGATTCAACCAATAAATCGAGGAGTTAGAGCAGCTTTTAAGGCTTACCGCCTGGGAGGCCCTTTGCCCAGACTATTGCTGTAACAGAAGAAGACACTGAGAAGACACTGATGCATTTCTGGAAGGATTAAAACATCTGTGACTGCATCTAAAACTTTGCTTGGCCTTGGAGCGATGTCACTAAGTAGTATATGAGTGGCGTTTGAAGGAAGACACTCAAGAAGTCAGTTAATGACAACAAAGAATTTCCCAAAGATGAGGAAGCTGCAAAAGTCAACAAGGCTGTGGTTGACATGGCAAACAACTTTAACCTGGGTGTGGATGTGAATGACAGGTAATGAGCAGTTGTTGGAACTAGAACACATAGTTGAAGAAAAGAGGGGAAAAAAATGGAGAAGAAAAAGAAGAACCCGCAAGAAAATTTACAGTGAAGAGTTTAGCAGAACCTTTTCCAGACCTTTACAAGCTTCTTATAAAGTTTGAAAACATGGACCTCAACGCTGAAAGATTTTTATTAATAGAGAGGTAGATTATCTGCTTACATGAAAGTCTATGATAAAAAAAAGAAAAGAAAAGAAAAGAAAGGAAACCAAGCACACTACAATGGACATATTTCTGAAAAGAGTGCTCCTCAATAAGAGCCTAAGGCAGGTCCTTCAGGAGATCTTCCAGAAGGAGGCATTGTTATCCTAGGAGATGACAGCTCCATGCATGTTATTGCCCCTGAAGAACTTCAAATGGGACAAGATATGGACGTAGAAGACAGTGATATTAATGATTCTGACACTGTGTAGGCTGAGGCCTAATATGTATGTTTGTGTGTAAATTTTTAATTAAAAAAACTCTAAAAAATTAAAAAATTAAAATTTTAAAAACAGAAAAAAGCCTATAGAATAAGGAAATAAAGAAAGAAAATAGTTTTGTACAATTGTACAATGTGCTTGTTTTAGGCTGTGTTTTATAAGTCTAAAAGATAAAAAATTAAAAGTTTGTAAATTTAAAAAGTTACAGTAAGCTAAGGTTAATTTATTATCAAAGAAAGAAAAAAATTTTATAAATTGAGTGTAGCCTAAGTGTACAATTTTTATAAAGTCTACGGTAGTTTAAGTCTTAGATCTTCACATTTACTCACCACTCACTGACTCACCCAGATTAACTTCCAGTCCTGCAAGCTCCATTTATGATAACTGCTCTATACAGGTATACCATTTTTTATTTTTATACTGTATTTATACTGTACCTTTTCCATGTTGAGGTATATTTAGGTACATAAGTACTTACCATTGTGTTACAATTACCTACAATATACAGTATCATAACATGCTGTATAGGTGTATAGCTCAGGAGTAATAGTCTATACCACATAACCTAAATGTGCA